CTGAATTTCTGGTTTAGGAATAGTAAGCGATTTCTCAGGATGCTCTTCGGACTCTTGTGGACTACGCTTTTTTGAACGCCTTGCTGCAAACAGTAGTCGGACATTTAGAAATGTCTAGTTGCCCAGTGCCTGTTGTGTGACTTTTGAAAAGGCGGGTGGCACACTTGACAGTTTCGTTGCTTTTTAATGTGTGTTTCCATTCTTTACGTGCATGCTAATTTGACATTCAAAAAATGCCGTTTTCACCTATACTACTTACGTTGATATCATATTTGTTTATGATTGTAAACAAGGTTTTTCAAAGTGACCCTTGACTTTTGACGAGTAGCATATGTCAGTCAGGTAAAAAAAAACCAAAAAAACATGAATATCCCTTTTCATGCCATAGGCGCATCAGGCATATGGGAAGAGCATCCCATATTTTTACAAACCAATCAGCACTAGGTGGGTAATGTGGTCAGCATTACGCCAGCCGTCTTTACTTCCCCAGGACAGCCATCAAGGTACTCATTTTAGGCTGGGTCGACCTGCGACGCCCCAAATCATGAAAAAAAAAAAAAAAAAAAAACCACGCAGCCAGCAGAGGATTTCGATCGCGGCACGTTGGAATTACGAATTGGACTCGCCACCCCTAAGCCACAGACGCCGCATATCAGTTAAGTACATTTTAAAAAATTTGATTTTCCATTAAGCATATTAATTTTATTGTTCGGAATGGGGAATAAATCTAATACTACACTTCATTTGCAGTGTGATTGACATGCACACCAACTTGAGCAAATCTGGAACCTGTGCTGTGTATTGTTTGTGATGTAATTTATGCAGAACTGTGGATTATGTTTATAACTTGTTGCATCTTCTAATCTCCTAGACATTTTATCAATGTGTTTACTTGATATTGGCTAAAAAACATAATCCTGTCTCGGAAGCTGAAATATTTTGGTCTCATAAAGCGCCAAGACTGACTGGAAATAATTATAGCACAAAGCATGGTACTAGAAAGGGAAGCCAGGGGCCGACCAACACGAAGATGGGCACAGGATATAAGTGACTCCTTGAGTGTGAAAGTGCATGAGGCGGGAGAACTGGCGAAAACCCGAGTTTCTTTCAGGCAGACCGTGATGAGAGCGACGTTCTGTAAAGGACCTGCTACATGATGATGATGATAGTGATTTACTTGGTATGTATAAAAAAATACTTTTGTAGAGAATTTCTATAAATGGTTATATGGGTCCCCTTACTTCCATTACAATTAGGAGGTTGGGGCTCCAGAAGCATTAGCCCCTATTTCCCTATATCCATCCACCCAGTGAGGTCCTATAGGGGAATAAATGTTACCGAGACATTGTTTTCAGATCGCTATCGTTGGCCACTCTCACTTCCATCAGCCTCTCCAGAAGTGAGTATGCTCTGGGAATCATGATACAAATAAAAAGACTGGTTTAAAAAAACAAAACGACAATGTGTGTTATTCTGGGGAAACCAGGAACACCTCCTACCAATCGATACGATTGACTTTCCCGCGATGAACAACATAATACATCTCTCCAGGGCCACTGCTTTCCTCTGTTGAAATCTGAAGGTGTTTTTCCACAACCCTCGCTTTACAGTGAAACATTCAAGCACTTAAAAGAAACAAGTACTGTAGGGATCGTGTGGAGGATGTCATTCTGCAGATTTGTCTCTTTCCAGACATTAATCTAGAAAACGAATTTGTGCATTTGCCGGGTTGAATAGTTTTTAAAGGGGTAGAAAATTTTAGGCAAGAGAAAAAGTTGACAAGAATGAACAAACAGTTTATATTAGCTTTACAACATCAATCACAATAAACAAACCAAGGACGTTGCAGCTATTAGCCTTCATCAGTAAATAACGAACAACACTATGAAGTGACTACACATGACTCTAATGTACAAAATAAATTATACTCATCTGTGTCCCTGGCGAAAAACTTGGTTCAAGAGGATGACTGGGACAGCTACTAGCCTATTTATCACCAAAGAGCGGGTGGGGAGCTAAAAACGGGGTCAGAATGACAGCGTACACTGAGTGTCTAAAGAGAGAGGGAGGGTTTGGCCAATAAGACGTAACCAGGGTTGAGTCGTAGGGGTGATATTTGTCCATCCGCATGGAATAAAAGTGGTGCCTGTGCTAGCGAATGAATACCAACAGACAGGCAGATTGGCAGGCTGACAGACAGACAGACAGACAGACAGACAGACAGACAGACAGACAGACAGACAGACAGACAGACAGACAGACAGACAGACAGACAGACAGACAGACAGACAGACAGACAGACAGACAGACAGACAGACAGACAGGCAGACAGACAGGCAGGCAGACAGGCAGACAGACAGACAGACAGACAGACAGACAGACAGACAGACAGACAGACAGACAGACAGACAGGCAGACAGACAGGCAGACAGACAGACA